ATTATTATTATTGTAATCATTATTATTTTATTTTGGTGTATAATTATTAAAATTTTATTTACTATGAATAATTATTATTATTATGATAAGTATTATTACTATTACATTTTTGCCCCCCAGGCCCCGATGTGGGTCAGTGATCTGTGCCTGGCTGGGCTAATAATCCCTGTAAAAAAAAAAAAAAAATTGCCCCACAAAAAAACTTTCAGTTTTTAGAGCTTTTCGGTTTTCGGAATTTCGGATAAAGGGTTGTCAATCTGTACTGGTAAATATTTTTCAACCTAACGAAACTATTACCCGTTTAGAGGTCGACCCCCAATTTTTGGCCAAATAATTTGGTCTTAAAAACTTGAACTACACACACATATATACGGTAAATAAGGACATGGGGGGGATCAGGTTTTGGTGGGGGGGTGGCAGCACATATACGTGGATTTTTAACATCCACGGGTATCTCTGTTACGTAACCCCCGCGTATGTTAAGGGCCGACTGTAGTCTGTGATGACATTATAACGAATCGGTCTGGACGTCGGAATCATGGGTATCTAAAGAGAAGTGACATAACGAAGCAACATTGTCGGGGGAACGTTAAATGAGGACTTACTGTACAGGTAAAAGAAATAATTGTCCTAAGGGCAAACACATAAAGGGAATATACCTTTTTTTGTACACAAGTGAAAATGTGCCCCTCCCGGTCAGGAAATGTTATTTGCAGATTTGTCCATTCGCGGCCTGTTTGAGAACCTAACCCCCACGAATTTGAAGGTTATACTGTATACTGTACTGAATTAAGATATACAGTATCATTTCTCTCTCATCCCATCATTTGATTGTGAGGATAAAAAATAAAAATTTTACACAATCATTTCCCTGCTGCTCAGTGTTGAAGATAGAAGCTTAGCCAACTGTACAGTACAGTACCGGGTACATGAAACTAATCACTTTTTACATCTTAACACTGCTTTAACGGTATTCTTGGCTGATTATATGCTGGTACAGGACTGCGCAACACAGATCTTATGCGAAAACAGTAGTGAGTGAGCAAACAAGCTTGTACATTGGCAGTAAACAATGAACTAAGAGTCTTATGAAGCAAGAGTTTGAGGAGGTACAGCAACCAATCATAGGCATACCATGCAGTCACATGACAGTGGTGGCCAATTATAGCTCACAAGCACTCTGAGCCTACCCGCCCATGCACCTGGCACATGTTCCTGTGTCAGAAACATGATTCAATCTCTCAGAAATTCATTTCCATGCCTGGAATGGGGAGATTTATCCCAGAATTTTTTGGAATGCTCAAAAAAAAAAGAAATCCGGCTATTGGAGAGTTCCAGGTATCGAAGATTCCAACAAATGGAGAAATTACTGTATATTAATTAATATATAATGGATAAATGCATATCAGGATTTTATAAATTATGTTTCTTTCCAACTGGTCATCCCAGCACCTAAACACACTTCTCCATAATTTAATGGGTCGTCCAATAAACACAGGCCCCTGAACATTTGGGCATTTCCTATATTCTTCTCTGAATTTTTTCCTAATTCCTGGTTGATCTTGTAACCAATAACATTATTTATATTTACTATAAGCAACTTGTTAAGCCTCTTAATAATTCCCTTTCAATAAACATTTATTCTGAATAAAGTTTTAGAAATATAATGAAAGTTTTATGGTGGCAAGGATATAAAAATAGGAAATGGGGACAACTAGTGAATAGAGAAAATCTGACTAGTGGTAACAAGATGAGAAGGGAAATATAAATAGTAGTAGCAAGACAAGAGGGAAGTAAGTACAGCAGATGATTTAAAACAAGTGTTGTAAGTGAAAGTACAGTACAGTATTGACAAAGAGCAGAGTAGCAAAACAGCCTAGGTGTGACCATGAACATTCACTGGCGAGCGAACAAAAAGTTCACCGTGTGTTTTAAACTCAAGTCCTGTAATCATTTTTTTATAAACATTGTCTCCATAAACCAAGTTTTAAATAATAGTATCAAATTTCATCTCCATCTTTATTCAGTGGGTTAACCTTTTTTGTTTTTTTGTTTTTTTGGGGGGGGGAGGGTATTTTTTTTTAAGGTGTAGTTGACTTATGCCATTATAACAACATTTTAAGCTCTTATCTATTTTTGTGTGAATGTGGGTCCCAAAAATCTCTCGGCCCATTACAGACTGTCTGGATACAGTACAAGAAGGCAGCATGGCTGCCACTGTACTTGACTAGCTTGACTTCCCTAGTTGTAAATTTAGGAACCTACATACAGCGGGGTGAACTGTGGGTGCAGTTGGTGCAAACCAGCAATCCTTAGGATAGGAAGCAAGTGCTGTATCCATTTGACCATTGCACCCCAATATTTGTATGTACCATATGATAACAGCAAAACCAAAAACGGTCAGCAATTAGAGTGAATGATTGTAGGCTAGTTAGAAGAGATTCTTGTTGCTTGTGACCACAGTCACCTGGCACCAGAGCAAGAAAAGGCTTACAAGTATGAAAATGAAGTACTGGGATACCATACCATCAGGTAACTGAGGCTAACCCACGCAAGTGTGGAAAATGGCCATAAAACAGTTATGATATTGAAGTATACAGGGGGTTCCCAGGTTACGAACAGGTACCATTCCTGAGGATGTTCTTAAGTCGTATTTGTATGTAAGTCGGAACACATGCTATGTGTACACTGTACTTACAGAACAATGTTTAAAATCCTATATCATAGCCTAAGTCCTTATTCAGTGGTCCCTCGGTTAACAAACACAATTCGTTCCGGATGATCGTTCATTAACCGAAAATTTTGTTAACCGAAATCATTGTTTCAATGGGATTTGGGGTAATTGGTTTCAGCTCACCGAAAATTACATACAAAGTAAAAAAAAATGCAGTAAAGTACACTTACTTTGAAGTGTTTATGTAGAAGGCTCCTGGTTGATGATGATGGGAAATAGAAGTGGGTGGGGGTGGAGGAGAAGAGAGAAGAGAAGGAAGTGGGGGTGGAAGAGAAATCACCCCATGCTTGGTGCCAACATTTCACCCGTAGAATTTTAAGTTCACTAGGCGTAATTCAAGATTATTTTCTTTAAATCAACACTGCACTGCACTATATATTGTCAATATGTTAAATAAATTTCAGAATGACCAATAATTGTACTGTAAAAATGTAAAAATACTCTGTATTCAAGAGACCCACAAGAAAGATGTTTCCTCCACTGAACAGAGATACAAACTGAGGCCTTGGTGAGTGAGTGAAGTGGCTGATGGGCACACCAAAAACTAGTTCCCTGTACTGCAATTATGTTAAATAAGTGTTAAAATGACTAAAAAATTTAATATAAAATGTGGAAAATTATTGAATAGTACAACCTTCTTGATATTTACTCCAATTTTAATGAATGTAAGCCCTAGAACCGATTTCTGTATTGGCGGACTAATCTTCCAGCTGGTGAGCAAGCCAAAACATGTCGAAACATTTTCGTAAGAATTTCGTTAACTGAATTTTGTTCGTTAACCGAAATGAAGATTCTTATGGAAGGTAATTCGTTAACCGATATTTTGTTAACCGAGGCGTTCGTTAACCGAGGGACCACTGTATTACAGTAGGCTCTCGCCAATAACAACTTCCACAATAACGGTAAGTTACAATAGATAACCATTTTCGATAACGTCTGGATTCTCTTGAATAACGGAGATTTTGTGGGAAGCGTCCGTGCGCATCAATCATAGCACTTGTTTGCTGCCATGTTGATGACGTAGTTGTCCGCTCCGCCTCACTCTCACACACGCTCCGTGGAAGACAGCACTGCGCCCACGTGTGAGATTTTAGCCTCTATAACCAGTGGTTGCTAGGGTCGGTGATCAATAATGGCTTCCTCATTTTTGCCTGTGGGGGTTAGGGGAGGTGGTGGAGGGAGAGATTTGCCGCCTGAACGCCAGGGAACTTTTAAAGTGAATGAGAAAAAAGACCCCAAAGCTAAGAGTCAAAGCCCCAAGAAGCGTGCCAACTCGGTCAAGGATAAAGAACAGATTGTTGAACTCATTGAAAGTGGTGCACGGAACATTGATATTGTGAGGAAATTGAACTGTTCTGAGTCTACAGTGTGAAATATTAAGAAATATTTCGGTAGTGATGGAAATGCGAGGCGAGCTATGAATGATAAAAGTGATAGAAATAGGTTGTTAGTGATAATAGAGCATTTTCTTTTGAAATGGTTAGCTTGTAGAATGAATGACAGTGCAAGTCTTAGCAGCCCTCAGATACGGAACAATCATCACACCAAGCACCTCAAAAACTCCCCCCAAGCTAAGTGTTATATTACTCAAACTCTTTATTTTGACGATTGAATAACAATTCTTTTTATTTCAACGAACAAAGTGTTAGGAGGGCTTCTAAGGGGAAAAATTGGGTGAAATTCTTGGGGCGGCAGCACCAATAAACCCTTTTTACATGTATTTTAATGCCACACAAATAAAGTTTTCGCTAATAACCGCGTTTTTCAGGCACCTATTAAACGTTATTGGCGAGAGCCTACTGTACATCTAAAATCACTTAATTTAAGACAAAAGAAGAAATTAATGGCAAAATTCAGTAAATGAAAGTAAAAAAATATATCAGGTAAATAAATACTGTAAATGAAAGTTTAACCCCATTCGTATCAGCTGACGTTCGTAAGTCGGGGACCCCCCCTGTACTGTAAATCCAATCCAAAAAAATAAATTATGAATGTTAATAGATAATGTGAGTACCAAACAGTGCAAGTAACAAACAAGTAAACAAATTAGGACTGATATATAGTGGTAACTGAAGGATAGTTTGATTTTTGTAAGTTTCAGATGATTCATTTGTTTCCGATAGATATTCTTTCTATGGTGTCAGACCAGCTGATCTTTTATGTATTTTTTCTATATGATGTCAGTATTAATTTTCATGAATTTCAACATATAGTTCATCAGTCTTTTCAAAAGTAAGTGATTTTTTTTTTCATTCTCCTCTTTAAGCAGATTTCATCAACCAAAGAGAATTTCCGGAAGACTTGGACAGCCAAATACACATTACGCTCACACTTTGACGGCGTGCGAGCCCTCTGTTTCCACCCACAAGAGCCCACTCTCATTACCGCCTCTGAAGATGCTACGCTGAAACTCTGGAACCTCCAAAAAACAGTACCAGCTAAGAAGTGAGTTGATGATGCTTCTTTCTATGGTATCTATAAACAGTGTCTTATTGGTATGGTAATATCTAATGTCAAGATACATATTGCTTGTGTTGTTTGTCAGAGAGTACAACAGCTGCCTCCATATACTCCATTTCTTTTAACAGTGTGGCATTTAAATGTACAAATGAGTCCTAATTTGAGGTACTCGTTGTGCTCTGTAATAACTCTTCAGTTTCATTCATTTGTACACATTCATGCCAATATACAGTGATTTTCCCGTTAGCCGGAACAATTGGTGCAGAGCACTTCCAGGGGCGAGAGATTTCCTTGTAACAAGACGACTTTCTCAAACCTGGAAAAATTCCTTATCCTCGGAATTTTTTTCGATTACTGGGAAAAGTTTCTGAGTGTCTAAATTAGACAGTCTTGCACAGATGCACACTAACCCACTTCCCCAGAACGTTTATGGGTGCTGGAGATGTTTTCCTCGAGTCTAAATTACTGGAATCCGTAAATACAATTCTAATTAAGTTAGAAACTTAATGTCTTTACTATAATAATCCAGAATAATAGTTCATCTAAAAGTTTGATTAAATAAATATATTTAAAAATTAAAAATCTAAAAGATATGGACATGAATGAAGCTGTGTGTTACAGCAAAGACTGGTATTTTCCACTCCCATGGAGCTGTGGGGGGATTAGTGGGTCTTGTGTAACTGATCTGACCTGACCTGATGCAATGTCAGGTGCAGGTAGGGTGGTGGATTAGTGGTCTCATATTACTAATCTACTGATGGAATGTCAGGTTACCCTTTCTTGAGTGGAGGATTAGTGGGTCTCATGACCTGAATATGTCTTGAATAAACACGAATCCTAAAATATGTTGAGGGAGATTGTGGTAAGTATAAGTATAAATGAACAAAGTTGTATCCCTTCAACATTAAGCTACATAACATTTTAAAATATGGAGTGAGAAAGTAGAAAGGTTTGGGTAATTAGAGAGTTGGAATGGAAATGGGTGTTGCCAAGCACTCCTCAATAGCTGATATTTAACTCATTACCATGCAGTCACACACATGCACATGTGTCTTAATTCCCTTGCTAGGGGTGTGTGAGTGGTGTTTGGGAGTGTGTGGTTGTTGAAGGGTGTGTTTGTGTGTGATGTAGGGGTGTATGTGTGATGTGTAGGTGGTGGTGTTGTGTGTTGATGGAAGTGGACCTTTTGGGGGGGTAGGGTCGCGTGGTCCGTCTCCCCCCCCCCGCCCCTTCCTCGCTGAAGCGTGGAGATGAATTTGATACCATAATGATCCTTAATAAATTCTCTACCAAATGTTTCCAATACGATATCCTTAAACGAAATATTTCTATTTGATATAGTGATGGGAATTCCATTCTCTTATAAAAAAAATAGAAATGTTGATACCGGAGTCAATAAAATTAGTTCTAATTTCGTTAGACACACCATTTTATGTATCAAAATAATCCTAAACACTTTATCTAAAAAATTTTTTAAATAATATATTTAAAAAACAAAAGCTCTATATGACACACACACACACACACACACACACACACACACACACACACACACACACACACACACCCCTACCTCTCTCTCTCTTTGCTGTCACTCTGAATCAAGTATGACGATCATTCAGCTATGATACAATGATATGAGTTATTAAGGATGTCACCTTCATTGGTGAATTTTATGGTGACTAAAGAGGCCGATATGGGACCGGCACGTGTGGAGGGCTGCATCTAGTGCGGGAGGGGCGGTGGTAGTGTCTTTACGGCATTGGCGCTTGTCTGCCTCGGTTTGCAGTCGGGCTAACTCAAAAGTATTGACACCTAGTGTGGTGCTCCTCCAAGCATTGCTGTGTGGAGTAATCGACTCCCAGGTGAGGGGGTCGATTTGGCACTTTTTCAGGCTTGTCTTAAGACTATCCTTATACCTTTTCAGTTGCCCGCCGGCATTACATTTACTATTCGTTAGGTGACTGTAAAGTAGCTGCTTTGGCAGTCTACTGTCGTCCATGCGGGTAACAAGGCCAGTCCAGTGTAGTTGTTCTTGGATAATGGTAGCCTCGATGCTCCTACAGTTGGTGTCAGCAAGAATACTGGTATTTGTTCTCTTGTCTTCCCAGCGAATTCGGAGGATGGAACTTTGACTACGTTGGTGAAAGTTTTCAAGTGCCTTGAGGTGCCTCCTTTATGTGACCCATGTCTCACTGCCATATAGCAGGGTGGGGAGGACCACTGCTTGATATACTGTACGTGCAGCTTTGTAGATAATTTCAGCCCCCTACAGCTGAAGGCAAGGTTTCGGACTCTGCTAAAGGCTTGAGATGCACATCTGATCCGATGCTGAATCTCTTCATCGATGTCTGCAGTGGTGGACAGGCGGGAGCCGAGATACCGAAAGTGGGTAATATTAGAGAGGGTAGTACCGTTAAGCTGGTTGGATGGTGGAGATGTGGCTGAACCAGAGGCAGGTTGAAAGAGAACCTGAGTATTACGTACATTCACCTCAAGACCGAAGCGCGCATACGCATGTGCGTTGGTGCTTAGGATCTCCTCTAGGTTGTGTTCAATGTAAGCAACAAGGGTAAGGTCATCTGCATACTGATGTTCACTATTGAAAGTTGCCGACACCTCTGTTCCTGCCCGGAGTCGTCTTAGGTTGAAAAGACCCTTCAGCCGGAACTGGATCTCCACCCCGCCGGCTAAATTGGCACTGACACGAGTAAGGAAGGCAGCCAAGAAAATGGAGAAGAGAGTTGGTGCCAGTACACAGCCTTGCTTAACCCCCTTTGGATGAGGAAGAACTTAGCCTCGGTGCCATTGTGCAGGACACTGCCATTCGTGCCATCATGGAGTTGCCTCACAATGGTGATGAATTTTGGTGGTTTTAGTTTTAGTTTAACAAATTTATTGACAAAGTTGGAGTAAAGTTTACCTATTCTGAGTAATTCAGTCAGGTCTTGACAATGAGGGTGGTATCACTTCTCACTGCCACGCAGGACAAAGGTTCCTACACAAAGAAATACATCATATTCATTAACAATATATATATATATATATATATATATATATATATATATATATATATATATATATATATATATATATATATATATATATATATATATATATATATATATATATATATATATATATATATACATACATACATACATACATACATACATACATACATACATACATATACAGTCTGTGCGGAATGTTAAGTCGCGATAGGGCAGACGAACTAAGTTCTCGCAAAAAAAAGATCATATGTTGTGAAGCCTGTCCTGGGATGCGAGATGTCAAAACGCTTGGTTTGTTGGCAAGTGCTGACATTTGGCAACTGAGAACATGTCACGGCTTGTAGTCAGTGCGCCTCTGGCAGCTGTGAGGGGAATATTTATTGTGCGGGTTCCCTCGCCATGCGGCCATGTTTTGTCTAGTTTAAGGTGCAATAACCCGACATAGTGGCCATCAGAGGTGTCTTGGAGGGTTACTACAAGAGACGATATTGCAGCAGTGATTGCATTGTACAAAGCGAACCATGTACTGAGAGAAATATTGGCTCAGACTGGTGTGGCATTACGAGTTGTTCAAAATCTTGTCAAATGTTTCCGTGAGCTTGGAGAGGGCAAGTTACCAGCTCCATTACCTAAGTCTGGTAGGCCTAAATTATTGTCTCCACGGGCACTTAGGTTATTTCTCGACAAGTACGGTCCAATCCCTCACTCACAGCACGTGAAGTGAAAGAGAGAAATCCCCGTCTTTTGAGTCACGTCTCGTTAAGTTGTGTTCAACAAGCCCTGCACGATGACCTGGGATTTAAGAGCTTTCGTGCCCGCCGTAAACCTCTGTTGACAAAGAGACAGAAGGAAAATAGAGTGAAATTTTGCAAGAAATATGAAGTGTGGGATTTAGAGACATGGAGGAGTGTATTATGGTCGGATGAGGCTACGTTTTCTGTGACTGGGAGTAATGGAGGGAGGGTGTACCGCCCGCCCCACTCAGACGCACACCTCCCACAGTACACTGTAAAGACTGTTAAGCACCCTGCCTCGCTTATGGTTTGGGCTTCCTTTACGTATTATGGTGTTGGTGAACTAGTAATCCTCCCTAAGAACCAGATAATGAATCAGTACAACTATCTTGAACTGCTCAGTGATTTCTTACCTGAATCATTTGATAAAGCTAAGGCAAGCCTTTTCATGCAGGACGGTGCCCCATGCCACACTGCTGAAAGTGTCATACAGTGGCTCAAAGACTGGGAGGTACCTTTCTTTAATGACTGGCCTGGCAGTAGCCCAGATCTCAACCCGATAGAAAATTTGTGGTCCATTGTTAAGTGTCGTCTGCGCGACGCTGACACATCATCAATCCCGAAGCTAGAGGCAGCCATCAAGGATACCCGTGCTAACTTGCCACCTGACCTGACCTCTTGCAAAACCTTGCTGACAGTGTTCCTCGAAGGCTAAAAGATTGTCTGAAGCGCAGAGGAAACACTACAAAGTAGTAATTAAAGTGGTAGGTGTTACATGACTTTATTTATATAATATAATCGTAAATATATATATATATATATATATATATATATATATATATATATATATATATATATATATATATATATATATATATATATATATATATACAGATAGACCCCGACTTACGACGGGGTTAGGGACCCAAATCCAGGTCGTAAGTTCGACATGGCCGTAAGTCCGACATAGATAATTTTTTTTAAATAAATAATCTACAATGAAATACAGTACAGTAAAAGTAATGAATAATGAGGAATGGATACAGTACAGTGAAAGTAATAAATAATAAGGAATGGTTACAGTGTGACTGAGCACTTACCTTTAATGTAGTCAGCTGAATGCACATGGGGCCCCCATAATTTTCTAATTATACATGGAGACTACATTAACTGGAAACGTTTCGGTATAGAAAATGCGTGTCATTTGAAGAAAATTTTTTTTTTTTTTTTTTTAATA